GTGCAGGAAGGGCTCAAAGACTCAAACACCCCCTCCCCTGTCCTCCTCATCAATTTTTTTTTTTTTTAGTTTTATCAGGTTAAAACTGTAAAACACACAGAGAAACATACATTTTATCCTGATCTTTAGGACTTCTAGATTCATATTCCCCACCTTATGAGTGTCTGTGAGTTGTTTCAGTGTGTTTTATTGCAACATGAAAGAGTTGCTCCATAAACAAGTTAATGGCTTTGATCACATAATGAGTTGAACAAATAGGAAACAACAGGGAGATTAAACAGAGAGGAAGAGAAGAAAGTGTATTCACGCTGCCTGTACAGTCTTGGTTTGTCTGAGTGGAAGCTAATTAGAGGTTTACACTCTGCCGTTCTTAAAATTGAAAGACTTGGCACAACAGGAAGTTGTACTGGCACAAGTTAGATTCAGAACAGAAACCTCATACATCCACTGTATGGTTTTACAGTACGCGACACTGTAACAACATACATCAGTGTAAGAGAAGATTTTAAATTATTTACTGTTTCAGCTAATAGATAGGACACTGTGAAAACCTTCGCTGTTATTGCAAAAAGTGTTTTCAGCAATAAAATATATTTTATTGCTTCTTATTTATTACTCCAGCTTTCATGTATCAAAATGTTTGATCAAGCCTTATTGTTTTTATTTTTTTGTCAGTTTTTTTTAAAAAGAAGCAGAAATCTGTTTAAGCGGATTTTTTACAGCCCATCAGACGGATCATTACTGGCAGCTGGTCAGTGGGACGGACGCATCAACCAGAACCTGAACATTCTGTCCTAAAAATTTAGCTTGAAAAATTGGGGGAACTTATGGATCTCAGCAAGTTAGCAATTGGGTCAAATTGTCCATCTGTGTCCTGGGTTGTTTTGAATTGTTTTTGAGGTTTGATTATTCTTTATTCTTTAGTGTCTTTCTTTGATTAGATCAGTCTTTTCTTTTACATTATTTCAGTCCTTCTTGGTGTTTCTAGTTATTTGTATTTCTCTTCTCTAGTTATTCCTTATTTCCCTGGTTTAATTATGTTTCTCTTGTTATACTTTCAGTTAGACTCATTTCCTAGTCTCTTGTGCACTCTCCCTCGCCTCGGTGCCATTTTCTCTCATTTTTTCTCAGTCTGTCTTCTGCTCTCCTTGCAGCCAGTTAGCTCATCAGCCCATATTTTCTCCAGTTCTTCCCTGTGTTCCCTGCTTGCTTTTTCATTGGCTTATGTTTTTTGCTCTGCTCTGGCTCCCTGTGATTTTTTTCAAGTTTGTCCATCATTTTTTCATCAAACATTTTTCAGTATGATCCGTCCATAGACATGGATGTCCCCTTCCTGCGGTGCCAAAACAGGTCCAAGGAAGAAACCGAAGGCTGGATCATGACTCACCACTCCAAACGGGGGCAAAATCTGATTCATGTAGTTCAGTCCACTAGATGAGCTTCTGCTGCTCAGAATGAAGAAATTCAAGCTGATTTAGAAAGAAAGGAACCCAAATTCACAATCTATGAAAGTTTGCTTAATGTTATATGCAATCAATGTATAACTAATTTAGCAATATTTTTAAAAATCTAATAAAACTTACTGAACTTGCAAGTGCAATTTTTATACAACAGTAAAATGCAGGTATAAGTTTGCCACATATAGTTTTGAGGTTTCCTTTGTTACTACTGTATTTCTCTTCAGTTCGCTTCCGTCTCCGTCACTGGAGACGGAGACAGATGTAACTGATCTCTTCAGATCAGATCAGTTATATCTGAAGAGAGTTAATAGAGTGCCTAATTACAAAGAAAACCTCAACACTTTATTACAAATGGACAAAATTAATTTTATTGGAACAAATTGTCACAAGTTGGTTTTATAACTACGCCTCACATAAAGGGTAAAACGGTAAAAATGCCATTTGAATGAGGATGGAGAGGAGAAAATGCAGCAGAAAAGAAGTCGGATCCAGTCAGAAGGATGTTAGTGTTTGAACTCAGTCCTGATTTCTGTCCTAATGGAACTTAAATCTCTCTGTGATTGTGCACAAATTGCCACTACGAGCAAAGCTGAGGCCAACTTGTTCAGCACAGTCAGTGGAAGATTCAATTAAGCGCGCTTAGTGTACAAATCATTTGTAGACATTTTATAAAACATCTTGTCTCTTAGTGCCAACATGAGGATAATATAAAAAACGGAAGTGAAACAATCAGGATAAGTGGAGGAGTGGAGGCTTGCTTCTATTTTCATCATTATTCAGCCCTCTTTACTCCTGACTGAAGCTCCTCGTTTAGGAGCACGAGCTTGTTTTCTTGTCAGTCTCGTTTTTTATTCTCGCCTCTGTTTTTTTGGTGTTTTTGTCGTGTGTGTCTTCCTTGTATTCCTTCTTCTGTGTTCTTGATCCTTGAGGTGTTGCGAGTTGTTTTGTCTGGTTAATTACCTGCACAGGAGTCGGGAGGTGAGAGTTTGACAGTTGTCAGCGCTGTGTGTGCAAGTGTCTGTGGATGTTGGTGGGAAGAGAAGAAGGAAGCATGAGGAGAGGAGGAGTAAGTAAGTCTGACTGTACTGCAAGCCCTCGCTTATGTGACAGCATGTAGACACGATGGCTTTGCTGTTGTTCAGGCATTAGGCGGTGTTGCTGTCGCTGCTCGACACACACACACATTAACACAGTGAGGAGTCTCCCGTTTTACAGCATCTCTTGCTGTCTCTTCAGTGGAGGTGGTATTTCTTTGATCACAGCAGAGACACTGATTAAAAGGAATGATGCTTGTCATAAAGGCAGCTGTATTTATAAGACTAAAGGAGGACAAGGATGTATCTCTCTCTCTTATTGCTCTTGCATTTTATCCCCACCTCTTTTTATCCTGTCTTACTGTCTTCCTTTGGCGTTTTCTACTTTAAAGCAACTTTAAAGCTGAATTTTCTGTAAAATCAATCTAACTCCCTCAAGATATATTACCACCTATAAAACCTACCATGGTCATTTTTTTTCTGTTTGTTTATAATTCACTGTATTCTATATTTTATTTAATCAAGATAAAAAAAATTGTCTTACAAAAACAAGAATCCACATCCTTCTAGTGACATCAAATATGCTTTTTATCTGTATCCCTTTGTGTTTTGTTTTGTTTGCCTGTTTTTTCTCTCATTTTTGCATACAGACAAAGTTTAACCACATGTGCAACTAAAAATCTCTCAAGCCTTTCCACTTTCTTTCTTTGATCACACCAGTGCACAAAACAATTCCAAAAACATTTTCTCTCCCTCTTTTCATATCTGTGTTGTTGTTTTTAGTCAATCATGGACTATGATTAATTTTGGAGCAAACTCAAAGGCAGAGAGTTTGTGAAACCCTGTTTGGCTCTTAAAAACAGTTGTCCAGTTTTATGTTCACTATTCTGATTTGCTTCAAGGTTTTCTGTCTTTATTTGTAAGTTAACTGAACATTTGATACGTCCCTCTCCTGAGAAAGGAAATATAATTTAATATCACATTAAAACTTCCTCATTCCCTTGTTTTTTTCAAATCTTTACTATCATTTTGGATTAAATTTATTGAGTTCCACTGAGTTAAAGAGTGGAATCAGACAGACAGAGAAAAGGATAAAATTACCATCATAATATCACCTTTAATGGATCACATCATGGGCAAATAACACACGTTTTATTGTTTTCGTACCATTGAGAAAAAGCTGCTGCATCCTCAAAAGATTAAAACAATGTTGTGTGTGGCTTATTGATAATCATGTAGTTATGAAAAATGTCAGAGCAAACATGTTTTGAATTTAAAGTAGAAATATATATATGTATTATATAGTTATATATTTACTTTTGTGGCCCATGACTATGTTCAACTTAACGGTTTTGGTCCATATTAGTGTTTATCAACAGCAGCTGATCAGGGATGTCATCAAACCGATTAAATTACAATTTCCACTGGTGCTCTTCTTATAAACTGTGTGTATATTTTAATCCTGCAGTCGGTTGTTTTATTTTAGAATGCATTAGTTTGCAAAGAAAAAAAACAGCAGTGTATAATACCTTTAAATACTCACATTCCTGTGTGGTTTACCTCGATGCAGCTGACTGAATCAGAGGCTTGTGTTGACGTGTGTGTTCCTGCATGCTAAGCATTGTACCTGATAAGGCAGTTTTGAGCAGGACAGCAGAACCTGTCTACTTCTTCCCCTTCATCTCTTTTAACAAGTTCATTTATTCATGAACGTGATATAAACACGCTCACACACTGGCACACACCTTGGCTTGGTGGCAGATGAAAGGAAGAGTTCCTGAGCTGTTGTTAAAAAAGTCTTTCAGCACGTGTGACACACACAAAGCACGCTGAAAGTGAAAAAGAGACGCTTTGTTTTCAGATTTATAGGTTTTAATTATTAAAAATGTATAAGGGAGGAAAATAATAGGCATTAATTATTCATATGCAGCATGTTAATTGGTTCTTGAATATTCAAAACAAAACAATCGTATGAATATTCAGATGTCTAAAGAGAGGATTAGATAGTCCAAATGAGGAAAAAGAGCCCATGCTCCTCTAATGAAAGGAAAAATGTAAGAGGAAGAACTGAAGGGAGGATTGGGGGAGGAAAAGGAAGGAGAGTGATAATGAATGAGGAGAGGAGGAGAGAAAATGAGCTGAGGAAAACGCGTTGGTGTTGGAGAGAAAAGCCAAAGAGAGAAACATCAGAGAGTCAGAGGGGTCTTTTGTGTTCCCACAATGATGGATGACAGTGTTGACTAAACGAGCTAAATTAGAAGCTTTTTTTCCCTGCAACTCTGTTGAAATATTATTAACACGCAGCAACTTTAGTGAAACATATGATTCAGCTGCACATAATGACCTTGGCTATTGATTTGGGAATTGAGGGAGCAGCGGCGTTTTTCATTCTGTTTGCAGGGTGGTGGGGGTTTGTTGCAATGCAGTTAAATTCTGTTGTTAAAACATTCATGCCCCTTAATATAGATCCTCCTTTACGCTAACTCACGCACACACACACACGCACACACACGCACATACAAACCTAATAGCCTTAATTAGCCGGGCATGTGTCCAGTCTTGTAATTAGCTAATAACAGCAACATGGATGTGGTTAATTAGTGGTAGGAGGTGCCTGTGAATTAGAAAGCCAACAACGCAATTACTGTGCTGACAAAACAACCGGCTAAAAGCATTTTAAAACTAAGAAGAAAGAGGATGGTTCAATGTACAAAGCCCTGCAAAACTTACACATTTTCTCTCATTGCAACCACATACTTCCATTTTTCCAGAAAAAAATCAAGTGTGGTGTGCCGTTGCAAAGACTTTTCTGATCTCCCTTAGTAAAACCTGTTCAATCAATTACCTCTAAAGGTCACCTGATTCTTAAATATATTCCTTAACCTTAATCCATCATCTGAAAATTTAGATTATGGCACCAACACATGGCTATCTGTCGGTTAGAAAACAGCATTTAGTTATTTTAAGAAAGTAAGAAGTTCCATTCTTTCCACGAAAGAAATTAAGCAAACATGAGAAAAAAGGTAATCTGGTCAGATGAGATCAAAATGTAACTGTTTTGACTTAAATGTAAACTGGTATTTGTGTTGAAAAACTTTATGAGAGTGGGAAGATGACTGCAGCCAAATAAAGGCTAATCCTGGAAGAAAATCTGTAAAAACTCTTGAGACTGGGATGAAGGTTTACCTTCCAGCAAGATATGCAGCTGAGGCTGCAATGGAGCGGTTCAGAAAGCGTCATAATGGACCAGTGAAACCTAAAATCTACTGAGAATCTGCAGGAATCCTTGAAAAGTGATGATCTCTAATTCTCACCATCCACTCAGACGGAGTTTGAGCTGTTTTACAAGAAAGAGGCAAAAATTGTCACTCTCTAGATGTTTATACCTGGGAGAAAAATGATTTGCAGTTGTAACTGCTGCAAAAGGTTGCTCTGCACAATATTGACTCGATGGAGCTCTGTTCACGCCACACCGTGTATTTTTTATTTTAAAAGATTATTACCATAATTTCCCTTCTACACTAAAGGTCATGGTTGTTACCAGACGAAATAAGAAAGTTTCGAATGCAGGATCTTGTTGCTTTAGGTTTGTCGAGACTGCTTTCTAATTATTATTTTTTCTCTCTCTTTATGTTTCTGCCACCATGCTGCTTCATCCAAGGTAAGAGAAATTTGTTTTCATTATCACACTTTTTTAAAGGAGCATTACATCATTTCTGACTTAATCTCCCATTACACTTGAAAAAAGAGCTGATTATGTGAAGAGCTTGTCATCTTTCTTCTCCTCCTCCTTCTCTCCGCCCCTCCTCATCGTCTGCTTAATTGGTGGCCCATCAACCCGTTAATCAAATTACTTCTGAACCAAAATTGACAGTTTTCATTAATTATAAAGGATTATTCTAATTGCAATTCAAATTTATTCATTCACAACAGACGGCGCTCAGTAATATTTCAGTGAATTAGCATATTAAATGGAGTGCTTCTCGCATTAGCTATGGTAATGTATTCGTCTTTCCTTATTTGGGCTGCGTGAGCCATATGCGCACCACACGGGCAGTTTATGTGTGTGTTGCGCATGCAGGTGAGGAACCTCGACAGCGTTTAATTTGTTTGACAAACGTTGCAGGAGTTAAATGCTCCAACCTGCCTCGAACTTCTCCCTCACCTCCGCTTATCTTCTTTCTGGCTCACTCCTTTCTTCCTCACCTGTTCACATTCAGACCACAAATTAACCTTAAAGATCGCATCCTCCTTCAGTGAAAGCACAGATTTTCCATCAGCTGCTCTCAGTACTGAGCTAAAGAGAATACTTGCAGAAAATGTTGCTGTCTTTTTAATTGGGTCTGCTTTCACTTTTTTGTTCCACCATTGCATAAGATTGAAAATGTTCCACTCGAACCTTTGATTAAAAGTAAAAAAAAAATTGTGAAGGTGAAAACATTCACATAAGGAAGAGAACTGAACATTTACACTGACTGCTGGGTAGTGGGTGTAAATATTTTATGGCACCAAGATGTAGTGCCTGAATAAAATGTCATCACTTTAAATGGCCCTGATGTCTAAATGAACGCCGATAATGTGCTGCACCTGCATAGAAATTTACCCAGTAGTGGTAATCAATTGGATGCTTTTATAGCATCTTCTTTTCTCTTTTTCTTATCATTTCTCACATCGGAACATTATAACTTACTGTATCATAACTGTACAAAAAGAAGCTCAATAAGTATATATATAAATCCAGCCTTTAATTAACAAGAATCAAATATAGCTATATCCAGGCTACATTTTACAGCCTTGATGCCAAGCAAACAGGAATTGATGTTCAACAAAGCCCCTTCTGCCTTTAACAGTAACATTAATTATGAGACTTTTTAGAAATATGCTGAGTTTGACATTTGTCTTTTGATTATCATATTAATTTTCAGTAGGTATTTACAAATGTCTAGGCCTGTCATGATAACAAATTTTGCTGAGCGATTAATTGTCTGAAAAATTATTGCAATAAACGATAATATTGTTTCAAGACCTTTTGACACTGATTTAATGGAAATGACGTAATAATGCATGTGATTTCCTGCCATAGATACATACATTTTATTTTCAAAAGAACACATAACACTGGAACTGATAAACTAAATAAACAAAGCAACCAAAAACAAAAATAAAATGGACTCTCAGTCTCCATTAACAAAAAACGTACTTTAATAAAAACTAAACAACATAAAACCAAAGTGGAAATAAACACTGCATTCAACCAAAAGAGTGCAGATTATGAAGTTTATTGCCCTTCAGTAATCACTAGATTTAAATAGAGACGATGGGCACATCTGACTACCTAATGTGTTCACACTACACGATTTTTTGCCCCTATTTTCCCCTGACGATAATCTTAGATCGGTGGCCGATCAAAGATTGTCGATTTCGTAACTGATCATCCTGCAGTGTGATGTAGATCGTCATGGCCGCTCCGATCTAAATCAGGGGGTTTTCCCCAACTGGGAGCTTAACGCAGCCTGTTGAATGTGACAGGTAGCCAATCAGAAAGCCGGATTCTCCTCCTGCTTTCTGAGGGGAAATTACAGAGGGGAATCCCAAACAGCTGACACGGCGCAACCCGAAGTCCAGCGGACATTGGAGATGATATGTGGAAACAATATTAATATTTATTCAACATTTCGTGCAAAGAATATAGAAATGACAAGGGGAGGAGTTGGAGCCAAATTGTTACCGCAGTTGATAAACCCGGTAACGACCCGGGTTAATGTCCGTTAACGTGACATTAATAGGTTATAATGATTTTCATTCAGTCAGGAGTTTAGCTGACTCTAGCCACATGCATCACAGGTAGATTCTAGTAAAGCATTGATTAATGCCTGGTTTTAAAATTAGTTGGGCATTACAGTGCGCTGGGCATTACACTAAGGAAATAGGAAGGGAGGGTCAGTGGAGAGCACCGGAGTTGAGCCTTTTTCATTCAGTGTCATCAACAGAAAGAAAAAACAGCAGGAAGAGACAAGCCGATAATTAAAATGAGGTCGATAGGCTTAATTTATCGTGCAATTAATTGATTTATCGTTTATTGCGACAGGCCTACGAATGTCTTTTCAACACAGATTGTTTCAGATTTTCATCTGCAACTGATAAAACGCTGGGAAATCTTGTGCTGCATTGGAAGTTATAAGGCAAACTTTAGTGCATTTGCCCTGCTGTGTTGTGGATCAATATATTTTTACTCTGCGTATGGTGCACAAACACATGGGAACTCCAATCCCACTGACTGGATATGCAAACAAGCAATAGAAAACCTGTTTGGCAACTGACAGATGACTTTCCCGACTGCTTGCAGGGCCCCCATGGCCGTGCCGCCCTGGGCAGTAAGCAATATGGCCCAACAGTGCGCCTGATCAGAATAAGCACAAAATAACCTGAGCAAGAATGTTTTTTACTTGAAGGAGACACAGTTGAAATAGAAAAGAGCAAGATGAAAGAGTTTCAAGAAAAGTCAATGCATGCCCGTCTCTCAGCGGGGAAGAGCTTTAAAAACGGTTTTCTCAATCAGCTTCACTTTAACTGAGAAATTTTCCCAGACTGTCAGTGTTTATGTGTGTGTACGCCTGTGTGTTTGAGTGAAAATGTCATCCTACAGGCAGCGTGCTTAAGTGTGTGTTTGGGTGAATGAGTGATGGAGAGAGGATGAGACAGGAGGGGAAAAGAGGAAGAGGGTCCCTGTCAATATCACTTCCTTCATCCCTCTCCTCCTTGCTTCTGTTCCTTTACTTACCCTCTCACTCCATGAATTATTTCTATGACCGATGACAAAGGAACACACACACACACACACACACAGACACACACATTTAACAGACAGCTCTGCGAGTCGTGTTTGTCCTGCAAGGCTGATGCTGCTTCTGTCTTGTAAGTTCATGAGTGTACAGGTATTTTGGAATGGTGCTTCTTTTGGGGTTTGCTTGTTTGTTTGATGTTGCTCAAATTTGTGCAGATAAACCAAGTAAAAAGAAAGACAGGAGTGGGAGCCAGTGCTTTATATCGATCGGAAGCACGCTGTGCGTGCGTGCGTGCGTGCGCGCGTGCGTGTGTCAGTGTAAGTACATAGATGCTGTTCATGTTTGGCCAGGAGTAAGCGATGCTCCCTCTATCCTTCCTCCTCTGTCCTTCTTTCTACCTTTCCTCTCTTTTTTTCTGCTGCTCTTCCCAAATCAATCTCACTCATCTATAATTCAACAGTTTGCCTTCAGCCCTTAAAATATACACCACAGTGACCTCCTCCTTCTGTCTATCCAGCACCTCATCTCTGCCTTTCCCCCCTTCTCTTCTGCCCCTTCCTCATTCTGCTGATCCTCTGGTCAGTTAGATCATTTTTGAAGATTGGTTTATTGCAAGGCATCTTCACAGACAAGAGTGTTTGTTAATTTATAACCAAGGGTCACTGAATTAGTTGGCATTGTTGTTCAACTCTCTTGTTTAGACCATTTTAATAAAGAGCAGTGATCCCCTAAGAATCATGCAAGAAACTCTGATAACGACTTTGTGAGTTCAGAAAGTGATGTTCTCATGAAAAAAACAACATACACTGCCTGGCCACTTTCTGAGGTGACCTTTGCTAGCACCTGGTTGGAGCATCTTTTGCCTCAAGAATTCCCTTCATTCTTTGTGTTTTCAGTGAGGTATCTGAAACATTCCTCAGATTTTTGATCCATTTCACTTGAGTTGCACAATATATTGATTTGCAATCATCATTGCAATGTCAAAGTCGCCATGTACAACATCTCTACATGGATGCAGTATATTGCCACTTATTACTTGAGTCTCCCTT